TCCAGCTTTATTATCTCACTTCTTATCTAGATAGACATGCAGAGATAATAATTTGCACAAACACAAGACAGAGCAAAACAAAGCAGCACAAGAAAATAAAATAATAGCAACAAGAAAAGCCAATAAGTAGTTGAAGGTTTTTTGATGACCTTTACGAGTGTTTTCCAGTGGAGTCTGATGGGTGCCACGTCCTGGCCCCACAGTCTATTTTTGGTATTCTCTGGGGACTTCATTGCTCTCTGCTCCCCTTGCTATTCTGTTGCATGCCCTTAGTGTTTCGCCTCAGTGTGGTGGGGTCAGTTCAGGCACAGTTCTTGCACTGTGTCTCCAGTGTTGTCCCCCGTAGCACTATGGATCAATGATGGCCGTCATGTCTCATGGTGGGGCTGGCCCTCTGGTCCTCTTTGTGCATTGGCTGCTCTGAGCAGGAATGTAGTCCTCCGCGCTTGGTGGACCAGAATGTGCTTCATTCTATTTCCATCCCCCTTTGTTTGCTCTTGGGTGCTCTGATCAGTCATGCCCCTGCCCCTGAGCTGTAGCTTCAGTGTTGTCCTCTGAAGTGAATTCTTCTGGGGGGAGGGAGGGGTGTCCACTTAGTTGGGATTGCCACTGTCCATCAGGCCTCTCTATTGGTTCCCTGCTTCATGCCAGTGTGTTGCCTCCTCGTCTTAGAGCACCAAGTTGAATTCTGGTCCCCCTTTCCCTGTAGAGATATAAACAACACCCTCCCCTTGGGTGGGTTAGTGCCTTGTTCCCCCAGCTACCATGTCTCTTTTCCGCCCCTCTTGTTTAGTTGGCTACCATAAGTATCCCTGGGTTTAGTCTGGCCCCTGCCATATTACCTGGACCTCACCCGAGGAATGTATGCATACAGCTTTTTCCCTATGCCCCTTTTGCATATTTAAGCTTACCTCAGCAGACTCATGTCCTTGTCCTTTTGTGCTTGGCTTACTTCACTTAGTATAATTTCCACCAGTTCTTCCCATGTGGTGATGTGTTCATCACTGCTTTTTAGGATGCGTAGTACACTGCTTTTTAGGGATGCGTAGTGCTCCACTGTATATATATACCAGTTTTTTAATCCACTCATCTGCTTATGGAAATTTGGGTTGTTTCCAACTACTTGCCATTGTAAACTATGCCACGCTGAACATTGGTGCACAGGTGTCTGGCCGTGTTTGTTTTTTGTCTCTTCTGGGTATATGTCCAGTAGGAGAATTGCAGGGTCCTATGGTAGTTCAATTTCCATCTGTTTTCGATACTGCCAAATTGATTTCCATAATGGCTGTACATACCTGCAGGTATGTACAGAGCCATGGACAAGAGTTCTTATCTTTCTACATCCGCTCTAACACCTGTTAGTTACTGATTTTTTGGAATTGGGCTATCTTTGAGGATGTTAGGTGGTATCTCATAGTTGTTTTAATTTGCGTTACTCTTATGGCTAGGGATTGGGAATATTTTCTCATATGTTTATTGGCCATTAGGATTTTTGCCCTTGAGAAATTTCTGTTCAGGTCCTTTGCCCACCTCCACAGTGGAAAATTGGTTCTATCCCTGTTGTAAATTAGCAGAGTATTGTAGATTTTAGTAATAAGGCCTTTGCCTGATGTGTCATTGCTAAAGATGTTTTCCCATTCTGTGGTCTATCTTATTATTCTCATTGAATTCTTTTGATTTATCCAAGTGTTTTATCTTTAGGATATCCCACTTGTCAGTTTGTGCCTCCTCTGTGTTTGTGCCCTTCCCTATTTCTGATAGCCTTTGTATTCTGTTTGCCAAAGTTCTCAGATTTGTTACAATTCCCTCATTGATGGTCTTAATAGTTTGCGGTTTTACCTCTAGGTCTGTGATCTACCTTGAGTTTATTCTTGTGCATAGAATGAGGTAAGGGTCTTGCTTCATTTTTCTGCAGCTATGTATGCATTTTTTCCAGCACCTCTTGTTGAAGGGAATATCCGTTTCGCATTTGATATTTTTTGGGCCCTTATCAAAGATGAGTTGTATGCTGATGATTTTATTTCTGGGTTTTCAAACCTTTTACATTGGTCTCAGTATCTATCATCATACCAATACCACACTGTTTTGACCACTGTGGCTGTATAGTATTTGCTAAAGTCGGGTAAAGCAAGCCCTCCCACTGTATCCTTCTTGAGGAGTTCTCTGATAATTCTAGGTCTCTTCCTTCTCCATATGAAGTTGGTAATCAGTGTTTCCAGTTCTTTGAAGAAAGATAATGGTATTTAGATCAGGATAGCATTGAATTTATATAGTGCCTTTGACAGAACTGACATCTTTACTATGTTGAGTCTTCCAATTCTCAAGCATGGCATATCCTTCCATTTGTTGAGGTCACTCTTGGTTTCTTTTCGTAGTGTTCTGTAGTTTTCCTCGTACAGATCACTTGTTTTTCTAGTCTGGTATATCTCTAGATATTTCAATTTGTGCTTGCCTATTGTGAAGGGTACCACCTTTCTGATCCCCTTTTCTGCAGTCTTGTCTGATATGTCTAGGTGTCTGGTAGACTTCTGTTTGTTGATCTTGTATGCTACCACTCTACCATATTCCTCTATTGCTTCCAGTACTCCCCTTGTGGAACTTTTGGGATTTTCCATGTATAAAATCATATCATCTGCAAATAATGATAGTTTCACTTCTTACTTCCCCAGACAAATACCTTTGATGTCTTTTCTTTGCCTTATATTGTTAGTTAGGACCTCCAGTAC